AATATTTTCCCTCTCTATGTTTTCAGGGTCTTCAGATTTTTATCATCACAGCCACAACGCCGACCTTCAGAGCCACCATGTCCCGATCAGTGCAGTACCTTTCCTCAGCCAGCATCTCGTTTAACAATGTGAAGTTCCGTCTTTGGAAGAACTGGCACAAGAACCACTCGGAGAAATAGAGGGAAAAATGAGGTCATAACAAGCAGCTGACCCATTACTTGGGGATGATTTTAAAAGCATCTGTATTCAATTATTTTTAATGTGAACATAAACTAAATAACTGCATCACAGTCAATCAAAAATCAGAGTCATGATCACATCAACAAGAAACCTCCAGAAATCTCCTCAAACTCATTCAAATCTGTGGAATAAGCAGAATTAGACTATTTTGTTTGTTTTGTTCATGAACAAGTTTTCCCTGAAATTTTTCTGGGTAGGGACAAAAAGCAGATCTGCTAAAGGAGCTCAATTTCCCAGGATGCACAGAGGATGCTCCAGGATGTTTGGGCTGCTTTGCTGCAGGCAGACTTTCTTTGACCAGACAGAAACCAAACACTAGCACAGTCACATGTTCAGGAACAGACTGCAGGTATGAAGACTGGTTTTTATTGTTATTTTAAGAATCAGCATTGCTCTCCAAGTAGCATCTTGTATCAGTCTGAAGTGATTCATGTTGGTAACAGTGTCTACACTAGCCTTGTAAAAAACTAAAGTGACCCAGGTGGAAAAAAGCAGTGACTATTCCTGCTGCCTGAACTGGCCTGAGATCAGACTCGAGTTCAGCAGGTCCGTTATTTATATGTGTGTGTGTGTGTGTGTGTGTGTGTGTGTGTGTGTGTGTGTGTGTGTGCCTGTGTGTGTAAATAAATGTGTAAAAACATTAAAAATAATGCTTTTCTGAGCCTGATAAGAACTCCGAACAGATTCAATATAATGGTTGCAAAAGCTGTCAGTTTAGGATGACAGCTGTGTCACTTTAGATCAAATGTTTATAACACTGTGAACTGGTATTTTATGCTTATCTGTGTTGTCTAAATTGTTTTTAATAGTCTTAAGTATCAATAATGTAAAGAAAAAGGAAAAAACAAAACAAAACAAAAAGCAAAACAGAATTTGAGGTCTAAATTGCATCTATCTGGTCTGAACTGGTCTTTTAAAGGCAAAAACGGGTTTTAAATGGTCAGTAATATCAGATTGCTTAATGGAGTAATTCACTCTTAGTAAATGATGATTATTTACAAAAAACACAAATTTTATCATCTGTGTCTGGAATAATTGTTAATTATCTGACAATTTGTTGTTTTTAATCTTTTGTCGGCTACTTTGATTGATGTCATCTTACAGATGGTGGATTTAGTGCATTAAATGAGGTCTTATACTGTGTAATCTAAGAAAGCTAATGCAAAAATGCAACTTTTGTTTATATGAGTGTCAACTGAGGAAGTTTCAATGTGATATTAATTCATTAAATTCAATACCTGTTTTCACTGAAATGTGTTTAACTGGACATTATGCATTTTTAAGGTTGTATTTTTTTTTCTTAGAACAGGCTTTTGTTATGCTCTACGTCACCTTCCTCAGACACAGCCACAATAATGTCTGGCTCAAAACAGCCTTTATCCAAACATAACGATTTGCTTAGATTAAAAACCATCTCAAACAAAGGATCACAAAAGTCCCATCACAGGCCTTCAGGGTAGCTTTTATCAACACATACTGTCACATGAAGACAGAAACTCTCACCGATAATAAAAATATCCAAGACCATGAAACCAGAAACACAGGATGGAAAACCTGAAAGCCATCATTAGAAGAACCATCAACAGCAATCGCAAAAGCTAAAGAAAACAAATCCAAAAATTCAACAAAACAGAAATCAGAAGATTACAAAAATAAAAACAAGAAATCAAAGAAAAATCATTTCAACCAAAACCTGAAGATTAAATTGATCCAAAAAACTGAAAAAAAAAAAGAATATCTTCAACTTTCATACCCGTAATATCAGCTCTATGTTCAAACCTCTGCTGCCACACCTCTACTGAGCATGTGCAGAGAGGGTTTCAGCACTCAGCTTGTTTGTGATTGAAGGAAGTGAGAGCTTCCTGTGACCGTCAGGCTGTGGGCTGGGCCGTTGTTGTAATCAGGGCTTATTCTGTTTGAGGCCTTTGGGGGAAAATGTTATTTTAATAACTTTTCACTGATCCAAACATATAAAATATGTTCCTTTTTTAATGGATTTTGCAGCAGTTTGAAAATTTCAGTGATGATCTGAGGGGTTTATTTTTTATTTGTTGGTCTCTTTCTGTGTTTTTGGATCCCACATGCATTAAATGGACTGTGGTCACATGATATTAAATAAGGGGG